GAGGGCCTTGCTGCGCAGCTACGCACCCCAGCGCTGAGCTACCTGCTGGCCTCTGAGCAGAACCTTTTAGGATCCGACTTAACGTAAGAAGGCTGCTGAGCGTGGTAGTACACACTTACAATCCTAGCACCGGGAAGCTGAGGCAGGAGGATCACACTGGGTTTGGGTCCAGTGAGGCTACATAGTGAATTCAAGGCAGGGAGACCTGTCTCAGGAAAACAACACCTCTGATAAACAGAAGGGCAAAGCAGGAGACAGGAAGAAGGAGCCTGACCAGACTGCCTGTGTCACCACGTGCCCGCTGCCCTCTCACCCTGCGCTGCTTTACCCACTGGATTCTCCCTACAAAGGATGCGTTCTCTGAAATAACGGGACGGAAAGGGCAAGACCCCCCATCCCCCACACTGACCGCGCCCCTGAACACGGAATGCCCAGCTCAGGATGCTCCCTGGAGATGTCCCCAGAGCCCTGTGGCAGGCATCTCGCGAGTCACTGCAGCAGGAGTGCAGGTTCGTTAGTGGGCACAAATGTGCGCTGACGCAAACTGAAAAGGGCTATGAGATGCAGCCCGCGAGTCCCGAGAAGCAGAAAACATGGACTCCATGCCCGGCAGCCTGGAACTGGCACCCCAGCTGATGGTCTCACTCAAACCAAGTGCAAATGTGGTTCCCACTGTCTGCCACGAACTGCTCTGAGGCAGGGAGTGCGGGAAGTGCCCGCTGCTACACCCTCCTGGAGTCCCCGTGATGGGCAGAGGGCCGCGTGATGCTGCCAGGCTTCTTGCCACTGAACCACTCAGTAAAACAGTCTTTGCTGTGAATTATCCTGTGATGGGAAACCCTACTACAGGAATCTGAACACAAAACAATGAATTCCAGTACAGGTCCCAAGGCAGAAGGACAGCAAGACTGAGGCCCTGTGTCAAAAAAAGAAAAAAATAAATAAAATTCAGAGACTGAGTGAAGGAGTGGTGATGGCCACTACAAAAGAAAGTCATCTATCAGGATTATGCAATGTCCTGGAGCTACCTGCCAAACCAGCACTGCCCTAACCGGCCGCACCTCACGCCTGGCCTTGCCGCTGAAATACAACACCAGCTCGCAGGGCTCACTCACAGGCGCAGGGCACAGTGGCTGGCTCACCTCACAGCCTACCTCAGTGGTGCCAGGCAGGGACCCAGGGCCTCACAGCGGCTGGCAAACGCTGCCCACTGGTGAGGACTAAGTGGACTAAGCCCTGTGGTGAGGACTAAGTCAGGGTTGCTGTGGCTCACCTGGAGAATGAGCACACACAAGTGCAAGGCAGCTCTGCTCTAGCCCCACCCACCCAAAGGGAAGGTTCTCTTCTGCACCATAGGGACACCCAGGCTGTAGCCTGTCGGGCACCAGGCTGCCGTGCCGTTGCTCACGTTGCCTGGTGCTGTATAGTGAGGTGATGTCCCTCCAAGGTACACCTGCGCCTGGCTGTACACTTTGTCTCCTAATCTTGCGCAGTGACAGTGAACAAAGTGAGTTACTGAGCGGACTGGACTCTAGCAACACACTTTGGAGATTCTGTCTCTGATCACGGCCAGACGAGATGGTCCAGCTGCAGGAAGAAAAGCCTGTGATCCCACCGAGTTATGGAGAGTTATATATTGTAGCATAATAACAGAAATTAAGGGAACAATAAATGCAATGTGCTTGGGGCATCTCTAAGCCAGCCCTCTCCCCCACTCACAGGGAAAGTGCTTCACTGAAACCAAGCCCTGGTGCCAGCATGTGGGGGACTGCTGCCCCAGAGCAGGCCTATGAGCCTGTGGTCTGGAGAGTAAGTCACAAGCGGGGTAGCTCAAGTTCCCCAGGCCCTGAGAACTTAGGCTGAGCAATGCTCACAGTAGCCCAGGCTTCAGGAATGACCCCGGGCAGTATTTATAGTCAGGCCTGGGCAGAGAAGATGGGCCAGGACAGGGTGAGTCAGCGCTCGCTCGGGCTGGCCCACAGCTGCCCTCAGGGCAGAGGCAGGGTCAGCAGTGAAGCGCCCACCCCAGCAGCTGTGCACGCGTGCGGGTGGGGGGCTGGACCAGTGCCTGCTGCTCCCTGGAGCTCTTCTCTGCACAGTGATGCGTCTGACCCTGCCCCGAGATGAAGCCTGCAGGTCATCACATGGAACTTTCAATTACACACTGGTGCAATGAGGCTACTCCAGCCTTGGGCCACAAGGACTTAGCAGAAAGGTCAGGGAGCATGGGTGAAGCGGCAGCAGACACTGACTGCCAGACGGGGTTCCCACAGGAGGGACAGGAGAGCACGTCCAGGGGACACTTCTGGATCCACGCCTCTCCAAGCTCAGTGTGGTCTCCAGGCCCATGTCTGCCTCATGCAGCAGCTCCCGAGGGTCAGCTAGATGCGCCCTAGTGGCCGTACCCAAAACGTGCAGCTCTGCACCACTACTTGGTCACAGTGACTCCTAAGTTGTGGTCTACCCAGTGAGCGTTGGCCAAGGTCACTGGCTCTTTGTTCTGTGCCTGTGTGGCCTGCTGGTATGGCGCTCAGAATCTGTGGCTCCCTTCATCGGAGGGTTGCTGTCCACTAAAGATCCCAAGTCAGAGCAGCATCACCTTTTGCCTGCACCTGCAGCTGGGCCTTTGTCTGACCCCCAGCACCGGGTCTGCACCCAGAAGTGATGCCCTCCTGGCACGGCCACACCTGAGGGCCTTCTCCCCTCCTCCACCAGTGCAGCGCCAGCACATGCCCCATCCCACTGGAGCTTGCCCACAGCTGACCCACCTCATAGAAGAGCCCCTCAGGGAAAGGCTGGAAGCACTGAGCGCACACAAAGCAGGGCTCATGGTAAAGCTCGCCGTTGCTGTTCACAATCTTCTCGGCGGGCGCAAAGCCCCCTCGGCAGCGCTCACAGGTGGCGCTGGCCAGGGCATTGGCCATGTTGCTGCAACACAGAAGGACAGCAGGTTAGAGGTGGTCAGTCCACTCACACAGGCCCAAGGAGTATGTCGGTGTGGTCCCGAACTTCTACTGGATCCACGAGGCCCAGAGTCTCCCACTGCCCACCTTGCTGCCTGGGCATCTCAGGTATAAAAAGAGCCTCCTGTCTTTGACTTGGCAGTCTTCTTGTTACACATCCCAGGAGTCAGTGTGGACCGCGTCAGGCACGAGGGCCAAAGAGAGGGGAAGGCAGAGCCGCTTAGGAGGCTGAGGCAGGAGGAGGCAGGAGGGGGAAGACGAAAGGAGGAGGGAGGCAGAGGAGGATGAGCAGGCCACACTCTTATGTACTTCAGGGTTCCAGCATGCTGCCTAGGAGGTTAAAGTACTTACAAGACAACATTTCAAAGCCAATTTGTTTCCCCTTTGAGAACAAAAGCTGAACTATGTGGCAATGGAAAGCGGGATTCTAGCCTAAGCAAGGATCAGCCCTTTGCGTCTGCTGAGAGCCACTGCTCAACTCCTAACGCTTGCTGACAGGTCAGTCCTAACAGCTGCTGAGGAGACGCACTGCATGTGGCCGCCGTCACATTACTGAAGGCCAAGCCTGCACCTTCTCAAGCTCATTTTAGAGTTGGTGAAGCAGAGCTGCTGAGCTCATGGAAGGCACAGGCGCAGCATCTGAGTCCCGGGCTTGTGAAATGGAGTGTCATCACCGCAGACGCGTCACTGAATTCCCAGCACGGGAAGACATGGCAGAGCCACAGCGCGCGTAACAGGGCAGAAGAGGAAGGCCAGGCAGGAGTGACCACCACCAGGACCAGCGACCGCAGCCACTCCCTCCTTAGCGACCTTGCTGTACCTTGGGGCACAGGGGGGCTCAGCAGGCGACCTCGCCTCCTGCCACCTCTATGGCCTGGACAAACAGGGCAACATGGCTGTGGCAGGCTCAAGGCTGGAAGCCCTCTCCTACAGGGAGCTCCGCCCATTCCCTGGGCCTCAGAGACACTTCCTGGATCCCGAGGAATATGGCCTCCACCCCTCCCACGTCCTCAACACTCAAGGCCGAGGGCTAACAGCCTTGCCCGGCCCCTCCCATGTTCTGCTGTCTCCCGAGCAAGTGTGGGGCCACCTGCCCCCTTCCCTTGGTGTTCAAGGAATGCAGTCCCCTCTGTGGTCCTGGGGAGTAACCCTGTGCAGAAATCCAGTCTCACTTACTGGGTGTGGATAGAATTACAACGCACCAAGAGAGGCGGGAGAGCAGGATCTGGCCTAGGGCTGACCGTGGAGCAAAGTCTCCACCTGCCCGCTCAGAAGGGCTGCGGAATGGGAGAGCAGGTGGCCTTTCCTTCCCCAAAGCCAAAGCGTGGCCACTGCAGAGTGTGGCAGCCACAGCCGAGCCCATAGAATTCCTGAGGTGGAATGTATAGTGAGCGTCTGCTCTGTAATTCTCGCAACTGCTTTGGGGACAAAATTTTATTTATTTATTATTTTTTGTATTTAGATCAGGGTGAGGACGAAATTTTAAAAAGCATAAAGCACCACTTTGGAAACCAGAAGACACTACTAACATATATGGTAATGACACTCCACCTCCTCTCAAAAGATTCACATTTCAGAGATCTTAATGGAACGTGGCCTGTCTTCAGCCACGCGCTGCAGTGGGAGTAGCCGTGGCCCGCAGGGCCAGAAGGTCCTCTCTGCCTCGTACCGTGCCACGGGACCAAGTTCTATCACCACCTGAGCAACACACTGCCAAAGGGAAGGCGGGAGCAGGCGTGGCAAAGCACTGGTTACCAAAACAGGCAAACTGAAACAAGGCCATTTTCCCTCTGAGCTGTTCTCGTGTGAGAAAACCACTTTCATAAAGCATTAATATTTCTACTTACTAATCTTAACATTGAACAAGTTTACTGTTGCTTCTGCTGGAAAATAAAGGGAAGGGGTGAGGAGGCCCAGCTCCAATGCTTCGAGCACGGAGTGCCTCCCCTCGCTTCCTGCACAGCTTGCTGCTCAGCTTCAAGTCGCAGCACTCCCGGTGAAGTAGCGGGAAGGATGCACAGCGACAGTGCAGAGGGACATCCCTCGTGCCAGAGAATCGGCCTGCTCTGGGATAGCGCCCACATACTTCTCAGAAGGATTTACCAGCAGCAGACAGGGACACAGGGGCCACCTTGTGGGTCTGAGCCCTCCCGGCCCGATGCCTCCTCTCCTAGCCGGGAGCTCTGTACTTCCACCGCTGACTTTTATTTAATACTACCTCTAATAGAAGTCACTTTTTCAAAGTTCTGAATGACAGTTATAGATGTCGTTAGATTAGTTATAATTAACTGGCTAATTTCTCCTAAGAAAGATTTTCTCTAAAAAGTTTCAATTGCGGGGCCGGGGAGATGGCTCAGCAGAAAAGCGCTTGCCTGGCAAGCGCAAGGGCCTGAGTTCAATCCCCAGTTCCGCAAAAAAAAAAAAAAAAAAAAAAAAGTTTCAATGGCAAGAACACATAGGTGGGAAGGGACAGTGAGCTGTGGGAGCCGGACTTCCTGACCTGCTCCTCACCTGCACACCTGGGGCTGCCACACTGCCACCTTGGGAACCAACTTTCTCCTCCTACAGTGCAGCTGTCTGTAAGATCCTAGGCTGACCCCAAGAGTCTACTGAGCAATTAAAAACCTGGTCACAAAATTCCTAGCAAAAATGTTTATCTTGTAGATTAAAAACCTCAGTGTTTCATCCAAACTGCACTGTCTTGCAAGCATTAGGCGTCAGTTTTCCTATTAGATTGCACTGCCGCTCCCTCCTACCATGGAGAGGGGCTGGCTGGGGCCACCAGCACAAGGGCTCCCCTTTCCCTAGTCCATCCTCTATGGGGACCCGCTGCCTCACACTCTGAAGAAGTCCCCTGGAACTGGAATGAACACCTGTTGGCTGGGAGATTGGGGAGACTCACAATTTTGCGTAAAAGTCACAAAACTCCTTATAGACTTTGATGTCACTGTGCCTGCGTTGCAGTCTGGACACAGCTCTGTCGCCTCCATCAGCCTGGGGGTCACCGTCTGGGACAGGACAGGGAGTCTCCTCATTCTCGGGGATGGTGCTAGGGCGTGCTCCCTTGGAGAAGGCCATCAGGAGCTGGTGCAGTGGGGAGCAGAACAGACTGCAGGACGGGATCCAGGCCTCCGCCCCTAGAGCTCAGGGCCGCTCCCACGCCCAGCAGCTGGCTGGAGTCCCGGCACAGCCTCCAGCGTTACTGGGGCTTCCCTAGGCATGAGGACACCTTTCCCAGTCTCCCTTTGCTGCAGGGGCGCATGGCTGGTTCCTATGCCTCCAGGAGAAAACGGCCCCTGCATGCCCACTGGGTGGTACAGATGCCCTGGAGAGCACACAGGACACCCCTCCAAGGGATACTGCCAGCACCCCTGCATGCACACACAGCCCCGTGTGTGACCGCTGGCTGTGCCTGGGAATTCCAACCCTTCTCTGGCTTTCTCTTCGCCTATTTTTATTTTGAGATGGGAGTCTTGCTGTGCTGCATGGCCAGCCTTGGATTGTCAAGGTCAGCTGGGTAGGTGCCCACTCAGCGGTGCTGGCGTCAGGCTTTTCCATATATAAAATCCTATTGTCTGCAAACAGGGATAATATGACCTCCTCCCTTCCTGTGTCATGCCCTTACACAGAAGTCACCATAGTGTGAAGTGGTTTTATGACTGGACAGCATTTCTAGGGGTAAGACAGATTTGTGGCTTTGTCTTTGTTACAGTTTCCCCCGACTCATCCTTTCCTCCTTTCCTCCTTTCCTTTCCAGCACCTAGAAAAATACCTTAAGCCAGGAGCGAGAGGTACTGAAGGAAGGAAAGATGGGCGTGGGCGAGTGAGGTCAAGCACACCTTGCTGGCCCGCAGCCTCTCCTGAGCAGCAGAGGGCCCACCTGTTGACTCTTCCCCAGTCAGTGCCTGTCAGGATACTGCATGGCCTATACGGGCTTCACCTGCAACCCAGCCAATAAATGCTTTGCTGGCCTGCCTCCTCGCCAAGGGCCCCTGCTTCTCTTCCGCAGCCTTTCCATAAAGGACTTCTTTACTTTTCTCCTGCTCCTCTTTCGCGTCAGAGGAAGGAACCTTACACCCATGAACAGAAAACACGACAAATCTGCTGAATGAATAAATAGGGGGCTCCAACCACAGCCTTCCCTTCTATGAGCACACACAGTGTGGTCAGGGGATAGTATACACATACACACATGGTTTTTGCTACATGCAAGCATAAAAAGTGGGTTTCTGGCTCAGCACCAGGGTTCAATGAATATAATGTTCACATGTCCCCAGTGCTCCAAATTAGGATCAGCAACCACGTGGCTGTTGAGCAGTTAGGCGGCATCACCTTCCCAAAATACTACGCACGCAGCCTGCCAGGCCTCGGATTTAGTGTCCACAAAGCAGAGCTAAAAGAGAGGTATGATTTTTCCCAAGAGGAAAGGATGTTAAGTGAAAGCCAAATGAATATTGCCTGAGTCACTTTTTTGTCTTTTCAAGATAGGGTCTCCCTAGTCAGCTCAGCTTGGTTTTGATCTCACTTTGTAGCCCAGGCTGCCCTGGAATTCCCAACATTCTTCCTACCTCAGCCTCTCAAGTGTTGGGATTATAGGAAAGTGCTACCATGCCTGGCTCTGAGTTATGTAGTAAACGCCACGGGCCCTCCAAGGAGGATCGCCATCTTTCCCACGGTATCCGGAGTGACCCAGCTGCAGGCTGTGCTCCGGGGGCACCAGGGGTTGCTGTGTATGTGTGTAGCTGCCCTGGCTGAGTCCCAGCAGTGCCCAAGGCAGCGGCACTGCCCAAGCCAGTGCCCAGAGCCAAACGCTCTGTCGTCCCAGCAGCCCCTGGACTGTGACTAACTTGGGCTAGGGAAGTGCCCTAGGACCCCTGGGATCCATGGAAAGCAAATTTCCCCTCATTTTCTTCAGATCCTTTACCAGGTGCCAACCAGAGGCAGCATGGATGAGAGGTGGCCCAT